GACACCGGTATAAAGCTATGTTGAAAGAACCGGACCGGACCGGGCGGGTCGACCCGGAACCCGGTCACCTGGCTCCTGATCCGGTCCGGTTATGCTCCAGCCCGCTAAGTTCATAAAACCCGGAAAAATTTCGGCTCTCTTTCCACTCAGCCACAATCACTTGTTGGTAAAATGTATAGCTTTCAGTCTTATATTCCATACTACGTGCGTACCTTTCATTAACATTAACTAATTAACTAACTAAACAATCCATAATAACAGTAATAATAATGCATATATATTATACGGACTATACTATATTCCATATCTCAATTAAATGTGAGAACATATTTACATTATATTTTAAAAAATTTGTAATTGATGTTATATCTATATTTATTATCCACCTACATCCAAATCTATTTTAAATTTTATTATAAAAACCAACTCTAAATAATGATTTCATAATGGCTTTAGGATGTATCATAATTATTAATTTATGAAAGAATAACATTAGAATTTAATATTATATACGTATAAATATTAAATATTAAATATTAAATGTGTGTGTGAGTTGACTGGGTTTTCCGGTCGTTGACCGGGTTGACCCGCCGGGTCCGGGTTGACCCTTGACCCGACCATCACTCCGGGTCGCTCTCCGGTCCGGTTCTTACAACATAGGTATAAAGTGCGAGATCTTTTGGGATTGGCTATGCATGTTGTGAGTGGAAGGCTCAAAATGAAAATTATTACCAATTCTACAAAGCTTAACAACGTGTTCACCCCTCAAAATTTCTAAATCAAATAGAGAGACCATTAAGAAAAAACTCATCATTAAAAAAGTTCTAAGAAAAGTAATACCTTTGTTTCCTTAAAAACTCCAAAAAGCATTCTTGGTCTATAACATAAGCATCCCATTTAAAATAATCTAACACTATTCATATATAGGAAGTATAAATTATAGGGAGGATCTTGCCTAGGTTTCTCCAGCCAACATAAGCAGCCATTTTGTCTTCTAACTTCGAGCATCTTCTGTAGTTCTGTGTCAACCCATCGACAACACAACTGACTACAAAAACAAACATATGGCTTCAAATTCACTTTACCTTGTATCAATTCTTGTTCTTGCAATAAGAATGGTAATACTTCATATATATGGGACTTTAACTATAGCATGTGTACAAACACAGGGAGTATTTTGATTTTTTTTTTTGAGGATGTTGATTGAACTCTTTTCCCCAACCAAAAAAACGCTCCACAGTGTGCACAACTATGTATGGATTCACCTCTATCCCAATACTCTGCATTAAAAATCATACACATTTCTATTATTTATTACTCAACAACATTTATGAATAAAACAAAAAATCTAATGTAAAAAAAACAACTGAAAAATAAAAAACATTTTATGAAAATGATGTCGGCTAATAACTTTACATGGCGTATCACACAATATTTATCATTTTAATTACAACGTAAATAACATATATATAATTAATAAAAATCAACTAAATCAATAAAAACATCAATTGGGTCGATGCAATGCAATAAAAAAAAGTCCATATAAATCAATGCTGGTACGTAAGAATGCCATTGAGAAGCTTCTCATATAAATCTGCCAAGACTTTTCAGCATGACGGGCCTCACGGACAACTCTGAACCGCATTAACTATGAGGCTTTGACTGGAGAAGTTTATTCAGCAATGCTCTTGTGTGCTTGTTTGTTTAACTAGTTTATGTTAAGAAATACTGATATTCATGTAGTTTCTGCTTGTCATTGTGTATTTCTTTTCAAGGATATTAATTTTATTTGTTGGCGTTTTTTCTTTAAAAAAAAAAATCAATGCTGGTACGTAAAATTGAAGCCCATTTATCCATATTACGTCAATTATACAAAGCCATTGGTAATCAAGCATCTAAACATGCACCACCGCAAATGAAGTTTCTAGTGATGCTCAAATTAAGTTGTGTGAACCGGCGGCTGTTGTGAGCAACAAAGGCAAGTTCTCGTTCATTTATGTTCAAATCTGTATAATTTGAAGTGAAATCCCATATGAGGTTTTTTACATTTACATGAATTAAAACAAATCATCCACAAACAAATTTCTACAAAACAACGAAGCTCAAATTTCTATCCAACCTAATTTGGCTAGCAACTTGGGGAAACAAAGCAATTTCCAATCATCTTTGTTCAAATCTATATGATTGACGGTGAAATCTCATATATGCATCTCAAATCTACGTGAATTTGTTCGACCTAAGTCGGCTGCCAGGTAGGATTTGGCCGGGAAGTATTTTCAACCATTATCTTACACTTTTTTAGTTTTAAATTGAAATTAACAAAATCTATGTGATTTGAAGTTAGCACGAATACATGGAATCTGAAACAGATCAGATGATTCCTAGGATTGTTGTTCTAGGCAAAAGGGAACGTGATCTTCTGTGGAAAAAAAAACTTATTACGGATGGTGATTATTTCTTGAATTACACACTATTTTTAGTTCATTTCTTTCTAAATTTCCTCATGACTTTAATTTACGATACAACCATCATTTGTATTTAAAATCCTAATTTCATATGCGAGAGAGAAGAAAACAAAAAGAATTTGAGATGCATATATGAGATTTCACCGTCAATCATGTATATGAATGGTACTTAAGGAAGGTGGATAGCTAAGAACAAAAACTATAAACAAACATGTTTTGATATAAGTTAAAAATTGCATAACTTTTCCAAAAGGCTCACAACTACTTCTCTTCCCAAATAGATCGAATTGCAGATTTGTCAAGTTCTCCGTTTTAAGAACACCTGGCCTCAAGGTAATAGAACTTGAAAAATGATTAGAACTAACTACCCTCATACGATCATACCACACCTGCCGGTCACCCAAGGTATATGTGTAGACATCCACGAACTTGAATATGATAACCGAAAGACTGAAACGCAATTAACCCGGAATACAGAAAAAAAGCAATCATATTTGCATGCACTAAATCTTCGAGAAATGTAAAATTGGAAGAGCGGAGAGCAGATTTAAAAAAAATTGGCAATCTTTTTTAACTCTTATGAGTGCACTTATATTCATTTAATATCCACTTTGTACTATAAACATTTGCACATTATTTGAGTGTGTATCTTGCGATTAAAGTTCATCTAGTCCATCCATTTATAAGTGATTAAAGGCTAAGATTTGTTCTCACTTTTCATGGGATGACTACTTTTTACTTGAACTCATCCCTACACAGTACACACACTTAAAACTTGTAATAAAATATCATTTCAATACTCTATATTAAAACATAAGTATTACAAACTATTTTGGTATATATTATAAAATAACAATTTTTTTTGAATAATTTAAAGTTAAAGTTAATAAATTTTAATTCATAAAGTCAAATTGTAAACATAGTAAGTAAATCTTATAAACAAACAAAAGACGTTGCTGATTCTCCCTGGCGGCTTTGACGTCGCGTAGGGTTTTCTTTCCGCCAATTGTTTGTGCGGATTTTCTTCTCTAGCCTTCCAGAGTATTTTTTGAGTTTAGATTGTTGGTTATGGTTTTAGGATTTGGGCGACTTTTAGATTATCCATTGGATCTCGAAGCAGCGACAAGATTTCATCTTTGTTTTCTGATCTCTTTTCTCAGTTTGTGCAAGTCAATCTTAAAGGAGGCGTGAGTGCAGCTGCAGCTTTTGGAAACGAATGCAAGGTTCAAGAAGCGATAATCATGTCTTCTATGGATGATCTAGAACAGCGTTGTCTCATTCCTGCAATTGAGGAGGAGGTCGAATGGTTAGTTTTTGGCGAATCAACATGGATAGAGGCGGTGGTGATAGTGGAGGCGGCACAAGCGACGTTTTTATGTGTGGAACGTGCTTCCTTTGCCAAATCCGTTGGAGCATTCATGCTGCAGAGAATAGGCAATAGTTTGGGGAATGGAGACAATATAAAAATGTTTAGAATAATAGTACTATGAAACATTAAATTTGAATGTAACCCATTGGATGATTTGGTGATACCTTCTTGCTCCTTGACCTTTGCGTGAGTCAATATGATTATAGTGTGACCTGGATCATGTCTGTCATAGATAGATATCATCTTGGAAGCACAGTCTTCCGAGAGAGTACATGTAATCAAGAGACCACTACAATGTTGCTGAAAGATTAATTAAAAAATAAGATGTGTGGTTGATAAAGAATATATTACACTGAAGTAGTAATGGAGCAAGCTTTTGATGCTTACTCTAATCCCATTACCTTAGATCTTTCACAGCGAATACAACTTTTTTTGGAGTCGAAGAGAATTGATAATGAACCATTTTTGGAAAGCACATATGACATCTCCATTCAAAAAACAAACATGATAGAATTTAATGAGTAATAGGCGAAGGGTAAAGTAATATTACATATTAAAACATCAGTGTGAATAGTTCCATTGAGTGTATCTTTGAAACTCTTGAAGTCATACAGAGTCAAGGGAATGGAAGCCAGTTCTTTAAGAGTTGTGCCACTGGTGAATTGCAATTTGTAGGGATGGTCACTTGCTTTATATTGTCTTTCATTTGGCAAAACACAGAAGTTTTGCATTATATAGGTCCTACCTTCCATTAATTTTGGCTTCCAAATTACCATTTCAGTGTGTTTCAATCGTGCTTGTTTTCTGTGACCCTACATATTGTGGAGCACTCGTAAAAATTATAATTTTAAAAGAAAGCACGACAAACTTTGCAAAGAAAATAGAGCAATTTTAATGGTAGACATGTAGTCGTACCTTAGAATCCATCAACATCTAGTCGTACCTTCCAAATCCATCAACCTTAGAAAACAGGAAGAATGGAGTCACTCATATATTGAATTTAACACATCTGAAGGTAAGGAATTACAAATACATATAAATATTTTTTTCCTAGGATCGCCTCATTATGAAGATTCAAGTTTTGATGAAGAACCACTATTTCTTGGGGACATTTTTTATGAAAAAAAAAAGACATTTATTAAAATCCTCAATGAAAAGTTACAATCGCTAATGAAGGAAGTAATCTAAAGAACAATGAAAATTAAAGGAGAACAAAGCTAATGAATGCAAAATCTAATGAGAGTAACAATTCGCAGCGAGCACCCGAAGGAGAAATTGTCATCAGCAACCCCAAAAGTAAATTGCAGTTCATCAAATACACCCAAACCCTTATTCTCTAATTCCCAATAACCTCACACAAATCACAGATCTTTTGGAATATCTGGTTGCCCGATTAAACCTTGTACCCATAAAGCTCAGTCTAACAAACTCTCCATTTTCTCTTGAATATGAGCATTTCTTCTAAGTTGAGATCTTGTCTTCCAGTTAGAGTCACTAAGATGATTGAGAAGTTCCCTATCTAAATCATCACCTGAAGAATCTGAAGTGTCACCACATTCAAAATGAGACTCACCCTCGAGTATAACATTATCTTGATAATGGAAGAAAGCCTGGAGAGGAATTTCCACATTGATCGTGCCAATAACATAATCAGCATTGTATTTCTCTAAAATATAATCTTTCTTGTCTTTAATTGCTATGGCTCCCACTTGAACATCCTCATTGAGCAAAGAAATATCCCTATTATCTTTCTCATTTTCAAGATTAGAAAGATAATCCATATTGAGCAAGTCTTCCTGGAAAGTCATAGATGAGAAAGATCCAACGCTCTCTGAAATAGAATCTTCATATGATGAGCTAGAACAAAAAAAAATCCTCCAAACAAGATGTCAATGGCTCTTTATTCGCCTCTTTCAAAAAATCTCGTTGGCTAAGTAAAGAATAACAAAAAAGGTTAAAGTCGATTATCTTCAAATGACAGATGTAATTTCCAAGAACTCTCATATATGGTAAATGTCCATAATTTCCCGGTTAGAATTTGATAGAAAGATTAACACAACCAATTAATCCCAACCTCATTGATATAGAACAATTATATTTATCTTTAAATTGGCTTATTTGGAGATCAGAAGCGGTTAGATTAAGGCAAAACAATTTAATTGCTTTCAATTCTAAGGTATTGTAATCGTAATTTGGAATTTTCAAAAGACTCACGCGACTGAGTAACTTTGCCGCTCTTCGCATCTTCCGTTCCTCCATTGTTGTAGTCGAGCCTCAACCCACCTCCAGAACGGAATTTTCATGTTCCATCTCTGTCATCCGTCGATTTCCAAATATGTTTGCCGCAATTTCCAACCGAGCAACGACACTATCCACCATCGTGGAGGAGATGACCAGTCCTTCAACGATGATGTCGTCCCTCTTGATGACGCCCAAAATCAACTCCCATACATCGCATGTCTCTCATCGACGCCGGCCAATTTGTGTCCGTCTACCTCTTGATGCGTGACGAAACCCCCTTCACTTGATCTCCCAACACTTTGGAACCGGTTAGGGAAACCTCATCGCCCAACGAGCGTTGGATCCTCGCGTAGCCACAGTCGTCATCCATCCCGTTTTAACTCTCTCTATCGATCGTTGTTGAATCGCCCTTTCAACATCGCCCCCCACTCTAGTCCCTACCAATATAACCAACAAAAAAATTACATAACTTGATCTTTTCTAGTTTTAGGTTTTCTCTTTGAAACTCTTGGCGATGATGTGGGGACACTACTGCAACATGTTTTAATTAGGGGTGGGACTTTGGAACCAAGAACCAGACAACCGAACCGGACCGAACCGTTATGACCCGGTTCGGTTCGGTTCCAAAATTTATATGTTATTTGTTAATGGTTCGGTTCCTATTTTTTATTAATGGTTCGATTCTCGGTTCCTGAAAAAAATAAGTACATAGAACCGTTAAGGAACCGTTATACATAATAATTAAAATTATTTATATTTCTTATTAGTATATATATTTTAATGTATATTTACTTATCTTTTTTATATAACATTCACCATTTTAGTTTAGCTATTAAACTATTTAAAATTGTTTTTTATTTTAATCGGTTCTCTTGGGCTTCTTTAGCGAATATCTTGTTTTTACTAAAATTTACGGTTTCTTATGTATTTTTTTTTTTTTGGAAAGAAAAACTTTTATTGAATGAAGGGAAGAGTACAAAATGCGGAAAGAAAGGAAATACAAGAAAAGCGAAATTGAAAGAAAAATGACAGCAAGAACTATGTCCACGGAAGCTTTTGGACTGTGATCCAAATACGCAACTCAAAATCTACATGAAAACTCATAAGAACAAACGGCGTCATAATGCGGTTTGTTATGTATTTTATGTTTCGTTTCAAACTCAACTTTTGAGGTTTGAAATGATTTTCGGCATATTTGTATTGTAATTTCAAATGTTGAATGTCTTTTTGGCACAAATTTAACTGTGATTTGTAAAAAAAAAAAAGACAAGGAACCGTTAAATGACAAGAACTGAACCGTTAAGAATGGTTCGGTTCCTTATCGGTTCCATAAAATAATTTATAAGAACCGAACCGTTAGTAAAATTTCATATTTTCAAACGGTTCCACATATTTTGCCTAGGAATCGAACCGGTCCAAGGCCTAGTTTTAATTGCATTCAAGGTATTTTTTGAAATTGAGACTAGCAATATTATTAATTCAAAATGTCGTTAGCCAGTTGGCTTACAATACAATCCGGAATAACTACATAACCACTACTATGATATGAGAGAGCTACGTGTGCTCTAGCAAGATTATGAGCAACACGATTCGCAGACCGTGGACAAAAAGAGATAGAAAATATACTCTTTGTGCTAACAAGATTTCGAATATCCTCAAGAATCAAGTTCAAATAAGCCATATTGTCGCCACGCTGAACACCTCGTATGATCACCTGTGCATCATATTCCAGCTCCACCTTTTCCCATCCCTCATTCATGGCCACCTAGAGCGCCTCCCTTATCCCTTTTGCTTCCGCTTCCGCAGGACATCATTCGGCTCTCACAGACCCGCCACCTGCTTTGACTAATTCTCCTTGATCATTCCTTGCAATCCAGCCCCAAGCTCTCCTTCCCCCTGAACATCCATTTTTGCATCCACATTTAACTTCAGAAAGCCTGCTCTCGGCTTACTCCTCCTGGGCTTACGTATGCCATGTCTGCTGCATGCCGTCCTCTCGTCCTCCTGTGCTTCTCTCCACACAAGAAGCATGCATGCACATCTATTTAACAGACTTGCCGTATCCTGCATCTCATCTCCCCACATTGGGGAATTTCTTCTCTTCCATAGTCCCCATACTAGCATAGCAACTTTACAACTCAACTCTTTATCCGAACCTGAAAGAAGGTTTTGAAATCATACCTCTACCAGTTCATCCCCGTGCCGAGGACCACTCCCACTGCCCGCCAAACTTCGGTTGCCTTCGGGCAAGATCTCAAAGCATGCTCTGTTGTCTCCTCTCCATGGGCACAAATCCTACACTCACTCGGGATAGGCACCCCCCTCCGTTCAAGATTTATATCCGAAGGGAGGGATCCATCCAATACCTGCCAAATAAAATATTTTACTTTTGGTGGAATTTTTAGGTCCCACATACCTTTCCATCCACCCCAAACTCCACCATAAACAACATTTTATGTTGCATAAAATTTTGTATACACCAGGATATTTTGATATTGGAGATCCTCTCATAGAATGTGATAAATGTAAAGCATGTATGTGGTACCAAGAAAGATCACATAAACACAAGGAAATCAGAACTCCTAAATACCATCTTTGTTGTGGAAATGGAAAGTTCAATTGCCATTCTTGAAAGATTCCCCAATCCTCCTTCAACATCTACTTTTTCATAATGGAGATCGTGAAAGTAAAAATTATCAAGAAAACATTAAAGTCTACAATATGATGTTTGCTTTCACATCAGTCATGTTAATGTAGTCAGTTTTTCCACACTTCACTTAAAGAGAGCACAGGACAGAATGAGGAACCAAGCTGACCAACATAGGAGTGATAAAGAGTTCCAAATTGGGGAATGGGTTTATGTCAAATTGCAGCCCTATAGACAACAGTCTGTAGCAAAAAGAATGAATCTTAAACTGGGTCCTAAATTCTTTGGTCCATTCGAAATTATACAAAGAGTGAGAAAAGTGGCTTACAAATTACATCTACCTAAGGAAGCTAAGATACATCCAGTCTTCCATATATCACAACTCAAGAAACATATATACCCCTGTTGGATGATCAAGTGGTAATTCAAGTGGAACCCAAGGAAGTGTTGCAAAAAAAAATTGCCAAGAAGAAAGGGGTTGCTGCTGTATATTGGCTGGTCCAATGGTCGAATGGTGAAAAAGAAGATGCCACATGGGAGTCATATGAGGAGCTTACCAAGAGATTTCCAGAATTTGTGAGGAGACAAACTGTAGCTTGCGGTTCCAGAATTTTTAAGAGGGATGGATTGTTATTTTACATGACGTGGATACCATGTCATGCATTACGTGGATGTATATGATAGTAATACGTGGCTGATGTATACGTAGATTTTACATGTATATACGTATATTACGGATTAGTTGAAGTAGTTGAAACTAATCTGTTGAGACAGTTGCTGTAGCTTAAATGCGTATGCTTACAATGAAAGAGGGAGCTTTTGATTGTCATTGACCTCCTTCCCATTTCATAATTCTCTATAATTACTGTTCGAATTCTTTTCTTCTTCAAAGAATTCCTACTTCACGTATGTACTTCGAATTTCTCTCCTAGTACATAACAATTGGTATCAGAGCCGTCCCCATCTTCCTAGTCCCGACACTCAGAATGGTGGCCTATGGAGTGGTGGCTTGGGCCCTAGGGGTGCCAACCGTGACCAACATAGCCGTGACCAACGAGGACGTTGGCTCTTCGAAGCGTGGGGTATTGTTACGATCCCACACCGGTCAAGTATGGGCTTGACCGGTGGCTTATAAGCAAGGTGTTCCCTCCTCCTGATCGGCTGGTCTTTTAGGAGTGAGTTCTACACCTAGGCTCATGGCACTAGTATGGGCCTAGTATGGGCTAGGTCGTAACTGATGCGAATTCTATGATTACACCCTGAATCTTCCCTCCATCTTTTAGCTGAATTTAATGTACTTATTATCTGATTGAAAGGTTGAAATGAAGTCTCATCCTCATCCTGAGAGACCAGATCGTCTTCGAGCTATTGTCACTAGTCTTGGTAGTGCAAGTGCGTCATAACGTTTTAATCATCTTAGACATCACAGATGAGTGATTGGTGTGATGTTCATATTTTCATTAATATCCGAAGGTATATTTCCTAGGAAGTGTTATCCAATTTTAGTAAGGAAAATTACAAGGAAGGAACTTCAGATGGTAAGATTATGATAAAAGTGTCTTCTAAAAAAATTAGAAGCTCTAGGTCGTGACTGGCCATCATATTATTTCAAATTTAATCGTTTCCTTGTTAAAACAATGTATGATCATAATTAGATGCTGGGAGATAGAGCATCTTATATTGAGAAAAGAGTTGTACTTTCCCGATTCATGCTTCTATTATATGCTTTGGGGAATATAGTTACATACTTTGGAGAATATTGAAGCTGTAGAATTTACAAGTCGTCTCCAGGATAAAAGTGCATTTCATTTTGTAAAAAAATGCCAACGTTAAATTTTACAAAGTGTAATATCATAATGCACTTGGTTTATATGCACATGATAGTTATTAGTTGCACTTTTTTAGATTTATTTTCATTTTTTATTTAAAAGTACATGGAATTGCACCACTAAGTAGAGTAAAGTGCATACTATAGAAAGTGGAGACTTATGAAATAAGTGTGAAAACAAATATACTAAAAGTATTACTTATTTAGATTCATTTCGTTAATGAATGATATGACACTTATCATTTAATTTACTATTAGTGCAAAATAAATAATATTTTTCTACCATACTGACTATTAGTCAATGAATTTGATGTCAATATAAATACACAAAAATGTGTAAATAAATATTAATAGTTCCTAAGAGGTGATAAAAAATGAAATCAGATTTATGATGTATTGTTTATTTTAGGAAATGAAATAAACATTTAATTGAATTGATGATGCATAAAATTTCGAATAAAAGTACATTTACTCAATGTTTGAGTGCACATGAATGTATAATGAAATATTGCACCTAGAATGAAAGGGACGGAACGTACAAAATAATGCATAAGACCTATTCGAAAAGAAAGTGATTTAAGAGAAAGAATTAACAGGAATAAATGACTCTATTTATGAGGTAATTATTTTGCATTAATAATGATCTATATTGTAGGATAACTTCTCATATATGTAAACGTGTTGCTGATTACTTTTAGTTTTTTTCACGTAAATGCCCTTAAGCCATTATTATAGTGTTTATGTTACCAAATTTTGTGTGTGTATATATAGGGAGCGGTTCCGGTAAGAACGGATCCTATGAGAGAAATGAGAATGAACCTGGACCATTGGATTGAATTATGTTGAACTGAATTGTGCATTTAGTGAAACTGAAATGTTCACTAGATGATATTTAAAAATGTGCAGAATAAAAATATAAACTCACATGTGCATTAGGTGAAACTGAAATGTGCAGAATA